ATGGGTAACTTCCACACAGGCTGCTGGGCAGGGTGAAGTGAAGCAGCTAAGGTTGCTTCACAGACCGTACCAACCTCGAGTTGCCACAGGTCAGACCTAAGGACATAAACATGTCCATGGCCAAGCTGCGTAACGAAGATCTCTCTATCACATCTGGTGGTTTTCCTTCCACTGCACTGCTGGGCAGCCCCTGCACCAGATCAGCACCAGCAAGACACCAGGAATGTGCTGGAGCAATTGTTGTTGGTCAGGCTGTGCTGTTTCCCCCCAGAGTAAATCCCTTTGTCTTCCAGGGAAGCTTTCTTAAACACCATGGAAAGCCAGCTCCTGCGCTGCAAAGTACTAGAGCTGTTGTTCCAGCATAGTTGTGACGTGCCCACGACCTTGCCCTTGTCTCTGGCCAAGATCCTGTACTTCCTGAGCCACTCCTCTGTGCTGCTGCAATACCAGGTATCTAGTCCAACCTCTCCTCTGCCTTGTTTTTTCCCCAAGTAAACCTCTTCTAATAACCAAATACTGTCTCCTGTCATAGGATGAAACACCAATATGGCAAAGATGGGATGAGATGCTGCAGTACTTGAGTTTGCTGCTGATGAGCTACCAAAACGTAATACTGGGTAAGCAGCCTGTTCTGGCCTTAATAAACATGATCTCATGAAGAGGCTGCCATAGAACAGCCGAAGTACCCTTCCTCCTCTCATCACTCCTGAACTCACGGCCACCGAGTCTTAGAAAGATAACATGCCTCTGTCCATGCTAGTAACTATTCCCAGCAGTCAGAGCAAAGAAGTGATGTTGCATCAAGCAGAGCACCCAACCTGCTTTGCCAAGTTTAGCCCCTAAGAAATAGCCTACTTCCTAAGGGATCAATCCCAGCACTGGAGAAGTACACAGAGGGGTGCTTTGTACCCACTACTGTCTAAGCTGCACACACAGTGGGTGGAAGAATAGGGTGGTTTAGGAGGAAAAGCAGAAGTGAAAGGGATGGTAAAGCCAGGACACACTCAGCACTTACTAGAGTAGGCAGGGAGCACCACCCAACAGTAGCCATGGAAGGAGTGGTATTTCTGACTCCAGGAAAGCAGCACCATCACAAAAGAGCAGCACAGTCAATGCTCCCTAAAACTCCCTAAAGTCGGTTTACCAGAAAATTCCTAATGTGGCTTCCCAACTTCAGCTGCTTTAGCCCAGGGTTAAGGGTCTTATGGAGGAACACAGAGGAACCCGCCATCACATGTGCAGAGTCTTATTCTCCCTGAAGCCCTAGACGATCACTGTTGTTAAGCTCTTTGGAGACTCTCCTTTGCAGCTGGACAGCTGTCCAGTCTGCCACTAACACAGGAGAAAAGGATGCTACAAGCCCTGCACCCTCCATTTCCTGGGCTCTCTCCACATGCAGACTGAGCTCCAGGAGGGGACAGTACCTTCTTCCAGCAGGCTAGTCTTGTGCAGAAGCATCAAGGATAACCATGAGGGGATCAGCACAGTTCCCAACCGCTCCCTACCACAGCGCAGCGCTGCCGGTGGCACACTGCAATCTGTCCCTGAACAGGTCTGCAACCCACTGCGTGTTGCCTCTCCCCACCAGCATTTCCTCTTGCAGAGCACTTACGGAGCTCACTCAATGACCGGATGGACTTGATCATTCAGAAAGTTAAGCCCAAGCTCCAGGACAGCGATGACATCAGCCATCTGGACGTTGAACTGAAGATAGAGGACTTCATCAGCCGGATGCAGCAGGTCCTTGGGCAGTCTTTTCCCCTGCAGATCACAGAGAAATTGTGCATGCTTCGGGAGTTGTTCCTCATTGTCACTGCTACGTGATAGACAACCACTGCGGCAGTGGGCACAAAGAACTTCATGTACCCTCTGTAAAACCCCCTCAAAAACCCCATCTCCTGCTGCAGTCTCAAGTGTCATACATCATATGGGTTTGTTTATACATTTCTTTGGAAAAAATGTCTGGTTTATATGGCCTCAAAATTTCCTTTCAAACTTGCCTCACCCTACAGTTTTACAAGGTACTTTGTACACTTTTAAAAAATAAATTATTTTTGTATTTGCCGAGACTCTTCCATCTTGGTGCCAGCCCTGTCCAAAGGAAGTGCAGAGCTCTGACAGCTGTACCTTGGGATAGTATTAGACTAATGCAGCCATAAACTCCAACAATAGTTTGCACAGCAAGCAAAATGCCAAAATACCTGTTCAATATTTGGGAAAAGATAATACTTAAGAAAAAAAGCAGGTGTGGGCTGTAGTGAGGGCATTCACAGTGCAGAGATCCCAAAGCCATGCTGGTCAGTCCTTAGGAGAGGAACATTTCTGTTCCAAATAAAATACATCTACATGGCTTTGCCCAAGGTGATTAGCATGTCAAGAGGGAGGACTGGATAGCAACATCAGCTGAAAAGGCTGTGCCTCTTCCAGAATGCACCAAAGCATCTGCAGTACAGGCAAGCACACATTATGATGAACACTGAATTCAAATACACTGCCATCAATTCAAATCACAGCTGCGGTCAGAGAGCAATTATGCATTTCTAGAGAAGGTCTCTTCAGACAGTTCAGAAGCAACAGAGATTGGGAGTGGGAAAAAAAGACTCCTCCTGTAGCTGCCCACCACCCCTGTACCTGCCCCTGCGGTAGACAACCCTCAGCAGGGTCCCAGTGAGGAGACCAGAGCCTAGGAGCATCGAGCAGCACAGTCACAGCCGGGAACAGAGCAGTCCTGCTGTTAGTGCTGCACACGCTGAAGACCTGGTGCTTGCTACACAGCAAGGCCTCATCCAGAAGCCTGGCTTATTAGCCAAGAACAGTTTGGAAGGGTATGACCTAGGGCTGACTGGTTTGCTCCTTGTTCTTTAGGAAGCCTCTTTCCACCTGCCAGATGTGGCACAAACCACTCATCCACATGACATTGCCCCTCTAATCCAGGGATAAGCTATCCAGGGAAAAGTAATCTGTTTGGGAATAGTAGCCAGGAGTTTGCACTGTTGGCAATGCAAGTGCTCTCTGCTCTAGAAGGCTGCTCTTCCTGCATAGTATGCTCATTCAGGTGTATTTTTCCAGATAGGTCCTTTAACTAGATTAGGCTTCTATCATTAGACTAGAAAAGAAACCACATTCCAGCAAGAGGTCCATAGTTATGGATTGTATTTTCTGATACATTGGTCATATCCCAATGATGTCGGAGTAAGCTACAGGAAGTAGAATATCACACCAAGAGGCCACACTTTAACCCAAGCCTTTTCAAACTAAACTATGAGATCAGCCTGTGTAACAAAGACCTGCAGCAGCAGCCTGTACCAGCATACCTGGGTGCTTCAGAAGTTAACTTCACCACTTTTAGTCCTGCTAACTAGGAACACCAGTCTTCAGCTCTGACACCCCCAGCCCAGAACTGTGTGCTCTATCAGCAGTAGTTTGGCAGCTACAGATGCTACAAGAGCCCTCGAACCAGAGCTTTTCAGAGGAAGGCAAAGCAGAGATGGCCACACAACTGAGAGCTGGGCACCTCTAAGCAAACAGCAGCCTGGCTCCCAAACCTGTGCCCACCTCCACAGTACAGGTGCAAACACAGCACACAAGCTGTAAGAGAAGCAATCTCAGGAACATGAAGAATCACCATTTGAATAGCTCAAGAAAACACAAAGACTTCATGTTTAATTTCATCTGCACAAGCCCCAAGACAGGCTTTAAACCTAGTCTCCCTGTCAAAAGGCAGTTTTATAGGGCAAACATTTTACCCTAGTGCAAGTGCTGCCAGAGCCTTATTAGGCACAACCTGACCCCACACTCACTGGACAGCCCCACATTTCTTCCATGGATGCACACCAAGGACCTCCATTCACAAGGATTTTATTTTCTTGTAACAAAGAAAAAAAATCACACAGAGACATGAATAGAGACAAATAAATTAATATCAAATGAGAGACTGATTGCCAAGGTGCAAGTGTGACAGTGAAAACTGCTTGGTTGGGTATTAGACTTTCAACACAACACATCATTAGCAGTGCTGTTCAAGCTTCAGAAGAAGCAGAGCCACAAGATGTGCTTCTTCAGAGGGGACAGTAGCTAGCCAAGTGAGCCAAGCCTGCCTCACCCTCCAGGAGGAATGTTTGGTTTAAGAATGCAGAAAACCCAGAGCTCAATGTTACCAGCTGTTAAGTAACCTCTGTATAGTGTTCTTGCAACAGAGAAGCTTCCAGTACCAGGTGCAAGGCTGCTGCTGCCACCTCACCACTGCAGAAAGCCTGCTGCTGGCTGAGGGAGCTCTGCAATACAATCAGGAGACAACAGAGGAGGCCCATTTGCCACAGGACAGGTCAAGATTACAGAGCAATGCTGCCTAAATGCTTAAGGGGTTAGATGGTAGCCAGGAGTTCCTTCTACTTTTCACAAAAGCAGGTGTTAGCTGTTCCCAGTAACTGGTTCTGAATAGGCCAAAAATTACATGTAGCTGTATCATAGCAGGGAGGAATGTTTACCCTTGATCTGCCCTCAGTCCTCCCCCAACCCTGCAAAATGCATTTAATGCTGATGAAACAGAAAACCCTATCTGAGAAGTGCCCCTGGTATCTGATACACATCTACTACATGACTCATACAAGATGCTAGAAAAAACACAAATTAAGCAGCACCCAGACTGCCAGAACATCTGTCTTATCTAGGAGAAGGCAGGACAGTGTTGTTTTGCAGAAAGAAGGAAGGAGGATTACTCTGTTCAAGCCACATCAGCTCTGGTCATTTCCACCTTTTTGGAGGAACATGAAGAGTAGTAAGAGAAGCAATTCTTCCTCGTTACTGCCAAGCCCCATCAGATTCTGTTCCCTGCCTTTCTATTAAGAGCATCTTCGAATGGTCACAGCTCCACAATTCCTTTAAAAAAAAATCCAAGAACAAAAGTAGTACTAGGTGTTGAACTGGATAGTAAGGGAGTGCTACACTTAAAACTAATCCACCACATTCCCAGAGCAGCTTCTTCCTGGCAGTTAATGGTCCAGTTTTCAGTCCTTGCTTGTTTTCATCATTTTCCACTGGTGTTCTGTATATGCCAGACAAAACCACAGTGCTCCTGAGGGTACTTCAGCACTGAGCAGGACAAGACAATCAGACTACAGGTAGACAAGGCAGCCTGCTTGCACACCACATGCAGTCCTGTCCCACAAAACACAGTTCAAGGTTTTACTGTGGTGCAGCATACTGGGTAGCACATCTAGCAGGCTGAACTGGTGCAATACAGCAGGCAGGATGGTTTACATTGGTTTAGTACTAGTGCAGGAGGTTTTTTTCCAAGACTGGCTTTAGGAGGACATTCACAACCATTTCCTTTTCTGAGATGAAGAGCTAGAAGGGAGACTTTCCTATTTTGCTGCAGCACAATGGGACAGGGAAGCAGAGCCTAAGACACTCTGTAGTCCACTAAAGACACCAGAAGCATTCTTCCTAGAACCCTGTGGGAGTGAGCACATTCAGATCCCGAGGTTTGATATTATGGGAACGTGGAGATTTTTTTCTTCCTTCTGTGACTGGAATGTCCATTTTGGGTGGCTTGAAGGTGACTGGATCCTCTGGCATCCTAGTAGCCTGAGCACGCATCAGCTCCATTGGGGATGGCTTCTGGGCTCCCTTATAGGATTGGATGGTAAATCCTCCTGATGAAAAAAAAAAATCACAGCAAGTAAGAGCTAGGAAAACTAGCCAAGTCCTTTTTCCACTGCTGCCAGTGAGCCCTGTCACTGATGCCTGACACTGCAGAAAGCCTATGCAAGACACCGCAGCTAAAGCCTATACCACATCAGTGGCTGACACTTCCAGTTCTGGTTCCACCAGACAGCAGAGAGAGCAGAGTGAAAAGCTGTCACCTTCACACCCTGCCCATCCACTGCAGCTCAGTGCAAGTTATTTCTACTTTCAAAATCTTGGCATAGGTTTTTACCTAACTGCTTTATATCTAGGCACAGAAGTTACATGAATAGCACACAATCACAAGGTGGTCCTAGAAAGTAACAAGGCAAGCAGGATAAGGCTCCAGAAATAGCTAGCAAGTTTGTTGTGTGACAGTTCTCCCCTAGCTCTTGCAGGGCAGGAGATTTTAGAAGACACACCTGGATCATTGGTGGATTTCTGGATGGCTTTGGGTCCAAAAAAGCTCCATCTTTCAGATGGCAATTTGTCCCCACCAGCTTCCATGGCAAAGTCTGAGCCAGTGATAGAAGTAGAGGATCCTTGACTAAACCAACCCCTAGGGAAAAAAAAATAATTGAGATATATAAAACATGAGAACAAATACTTCAAGTTGCCCCACTGTGCCAGGAACTTTACATGTAGTTATCAGAGGCAATTTAAATGCTCTTAATTGGTTTGTTACCACCCAGGATGAAGATACATATGCTCAAGTTCCACAAGCTTTCAACATTTGGATCTATCCAAGACAAATCCACAGCAGGCTCTGAATTTCACCGCTTAGACAGTCCCTCACTGGATAAGGAGGTTATTTGTAGCAGCTCCCACCTCAGCATCCTGTAGGAAACCAAAGGAGGCAGTGGTCTGCCAGGAACAGAGTACCTGGTTTTATGCCTGGGAGAGGAGTGGGGAGTGCTGCTTGGAGTGGACTGAGCAGAAGATGTCTGCTTGTCATCTTTTGTCATCTCTCCACTCTGCATTTTTAGCTTCTGTTAGGAGAGGCAAGAGAAACACAAAAGCAACAGAGCTTAAATACAAGACATAATCAACAAACAGCCAGTTTTATTGTCAAAACTGGACAACTGTTTTATATCACAGACAATAGAGGATTTAAGTATCACTTCACCTAAAGCTAAACC